CCTGGGGGTGGACCGACGCCGACAGCAGTGTACCCCGGGGAGGGCTTGGAAGGACTGCACGAACGCAGTTTTATCTCTCTTCCACAATCCCGCGGGGTTAGTGTGAGACTTTTGCAAGGGCGCGAGGCGGCCGCTCCACGCTGCGCCCGCCCCGCCGGCCCCGAGCTGTACCGGATCGTGTCACGCGGTTGGCTGAGCTAAAAACTCGCTGCGGTGAAGCGTGCAAGGCTGGCTGTCGTCGTGCAGAGGGCGTGGGTCACCGAGGTCGGTCTCAGTAGGGGCTGAACCCGTGACCTTGTCTTTATCGACGCAGCTGCATCTTCACACGAGATGGGTCGGGTCGTGTACTAATTGTGTGGCGTTCGTTCGCTGCTACATCCTCCGTCTCGCCTCCAGGGATATGACCTCTCGCGTCCACTACGCTTCTGCCAACTGTCTCTCCGTGCTGACCCATGCATGACACCTGCGTTGGGACTGGGCCACTCGAGCCGACACCAGACAGCTGACACACAGTCCCTGGTACGCCCCCGGGAGTCGGGCGACGGGGGTCTCACCAGGGCCGCCTCCTGAGGCGCGCTCTCCTATGCTCCAGCGGCGCCCCAGCTCACAGAGCAGCCACGCAACGTAGTCATCACGTTCGGCAAGACAGCTTACTTCCACTGCGAGGCGGATGGCGAGCCGCAGCCCGACATCGTCTGGCTGCACAACAGGTACGGCGGCCCCGGCTAGCGCCGCCTGTCGGACGATTTGCGAACCCGCCACGAGCTGAACAACAGCTGCCGGGTGCTGACGGCAAGCGCCCCCTGTCGGCTGACTTGTAAACACATCACTTCGCGCCGGAGGATTAGCCCGACTGCGCGGTGTGTGGCGCAACTTGTGCTGCTGTCCGGCGCTGAGTTCGTGATCTGGCGCTCTTCGGGTGAACAATTGCCAACGGCGCTGTTGACGTCGGCGCGGCTAGTTATTTCTGTGACGTCAGGTGCCACTCGACTGGGTCCGATATCAATGCCTTATTTGGACGGACTGGTGGCATACGCCTTGAAATGCGGCGCCGCGATAGAATGTTGTTAACGTAATGAGCTTCATGGACGCTGCAACTGTACCAATGAAAGCGGGGTGGAATTGGTGAACTCGCGATTTTATTCCTTTGAAAGCTTATGAAGCGGCGTTGATTTCGTTAGTTCCGCACAACGCTAGTTTGCAGTTGTGAGAGAGGCACGCAGTAATCCTAGGCAGGCACGCCTGTGCGTGCTTGCTTTTGACAATGTGAGCTGCCACGGACGATTATTTTTGCTCGTGGGTAGTGCAAACTGTGTAAGTGGTGGTTAGGAGGCCTCTGCGGTTGGCCGAGAGGATGGTGGCTAGCTCTAGGTAGACAGCTTGTCCACGTCGCGTTCAAAGCAAAACCGATCGGTTTTTCGTCCTGCATGGTTGGTTATCGCCGATCCATTCCCCGCGTCAGGCCACCTACGGAGAGATGGTGTCCGTGGCTCGCCACTCACAGCTGATGGCCGTTTCAGGAACGAGCTCGACCCGGAGAATATGGAGGCCGGCTACCAGATCCTGGAGGATGGCACGCTGATGGTGGAGCCGTCCAGCGACCCGGACGCCGTGTTTGAGTGCATGGCCAAAAACCAAATGGGGCAGGTGAAGTCGCGGCCGGTGACGGTGCGTTACGTGCCCTCCTCGCCGCAGCAGGACGACGGGATGCCGCACCCGGGAGCGCCCGAGGAGGCGCCCGCTCCCACCACCCCCGCCGCCCCGCCGTCCCCAGGAGTCGCGAGGAGGAGCTCGCCAAGGAGGAGGAGGAGGAGCGGCCGGCGCGGCGCGAGCGCCCAGAGCTACTACGACCGGCGGAGCCGCGTGCTCGACAGCAGGAACCGCGAGGACAACCGACTGACGACCCAGCGGCGGCCGTTCCAGCTGCCGGGCCGCACCAGGGAGGACAACCCTGGCCACACACAGTGAGCACGAGCAGAGGACGGTGGGTCCGCCACAGTCCTCGCGAGACAGCAAGGTCCGACACGGCCCTAACACCACTCACACATCGCCGATGCAGGTATCAGCCACTGGCGGCTGACAGGAAGGGAGGCGGGGATCTCACCGCTGACGGTGACCATGGCTGGGGCCGACGACGTAAGACCGTGAGGCGTGAGACGAGCGGCGCGCCTGGTGGGACGCATGCCTTTGTCCTGGAGTGATCGCTGTGAGTTCCAACACGGCTGTCGCCGCGGGCCGTTCGCCGCGTCACAGCTTTGTCACCGCTGCTGAAATCCCCTGGGGTGACCACCGCGGCTAGATCAGCAGTCAGGGTCAACTCCCGGCTCACAGCTGCTGATCCCTGACAGTGTGCGGCAGGCGCGACGCGTCACAGCTGGTCACCACCGCTGAGATCCCCTGAGGTGACCCCCGCGGCTAGATCAGCAGTCAGAGTCAACTCTCGCTCACAGCCGCTGATCCCTGACAGTGTGCGGCAGGCGCGCCGCGTCGGCTCATCAGCTGATGACACGCCGCCGCTGCGTGTGAGCTCCCCGTGGCGCGGGCAGGGTTCCCGCGCCTGACACTGGTGGTCGGTGCTGAGGGCGAGTTCTGCCGGCAGGTCGGCCGCGGTTTGTGCGTGCCCCGCAGGACGTGCACGTGGGCGTGGGTGACGTGGCCGAGCTGGTGTGCGTGGTCGACGGCTACCCGACGCCGGAGCTGCTCTGGCTGAGAGGCGGCAACGCCATCACCACCCAGACGCCTCGCTACCGGGTGAGCCGGGCTGGCGACCCTGCTGCCGCTGCGGCCGGCGCTGCACAAACCCGGCTTCACGAGGGATCGAGGCTAGGCGTGCTCAGTTGCGCGGTTGTTTGTGCTCAGCCGAGTGGGGCTGGAGCGCGGCATGCATTGGGCGTCAGAGGTCGAAGAGTGATGAACACGGATATCATTTTCGTCAAATATTTAAAACGCTTTGCTTAAAAGTAGGGCATGTCTGAGTTTCACTGCAAAAGTCGCGGAAATAGTTTAGAGACCTCCGTATCCGAGTAACCACATCAGGAGGACCTCACTGACTATGAACCGATACATAATTGCACGCTCATTGGGAGCAGATAACACAGAGAAGCCCACCAGCACGCCTCACTCCAGCCGGCAAACAGCCCCCTCCTGCTCTTCCTCCGTCGCTCTGTTTCGCCGCCCGTCTTCGCCAGCAAGCCCAGCCCCAGGGCTGGAGCTGAGATGCTCCCACGGCGGCTCGGTCCAACACACCACCCTGCCCCGCCGACAGCTGCGGTTCGCGGCGCGCGAAGCCAACCTGACTATCATCAACGTGCAGCCGCAAGACGCCGGCGAGTACCTCTGCTCGGCGTCCAACCGGCTGGGGCGCGTGTCGTCGCCCGCGCAGCTGGTGCTGCAGAGTGAGTTCACGGCCGCTCCACGGTAGGGCACCGTGCGCTTTTGTCTGGAATGAGGAGTTGAGGGATAGGTGTTACCGCAACAAACGTCCGCGTGACAACATCAGCGTCTCAATACCAGGCGTCGATGTCCTCCGAGACGAACGTGCGGTTTAGCAGCCTCTGCTCGCCTTCTGCTTCCTCACAGACCCACCAAAGTGTGCACGTTCCATCTTGTGTCAGCCGATTCCCTGTCGTTGGTATCCCGGTGTCTGGCGCGACTAGATGGCTCCGTGAGATTGCAATGCATGTCGCATGAGCGCTGAACGTCACTTGCGTATCCACAGATACGCGTCCATCAGCTAGCTACCCAGCGATTTGTGGTCGGGCCTTTAGCTCCGTCCAGGGTGTCTTGTACCCGCCCCGAGGGTCAAGTGAGCGGCTCCGTCCAGGGTGTCTTGTACCCGCCCCGAGGGTTCAGTGAGCGGCTCCGTCCAGGGTGTCTTGTACCCGCCCTGAGGGTCCAGAGAGCGGCTCCGTCACCAGCGTCCTCCCACTGTTCACGTGGCGTGTGATGAGCCTTGTCCCGGTGCCACGCCACTAGCAGTGCGCAGAGCGTCCGTGCTCAGCCTTGGACCTCCTGAGACCTCCCGGGTCTAGAGCGTGGCCGGCCCAGCGTGCGCCAGTGTGGTGTCCTGACCGGCCGGTGGCGCCGCCGGCAGCGCGCCCCCGCATCACGGCGCCGCCGCAGGACCAGCTGAGGCCGGCCGGAGCCAACGTCGACCTGACCTGCGGCGCCGTCGGCTACCCGACGCCCGAGGTCAGCTGGCTACACAACGGTCGCCGCATCCGGCACAGCTCGCGCGTGGCTGTGCTGGCCGGAGGTAAGGTGGGCGCTGGGTACGCGTCCAGCACTCAGTAGTGGTGCGAGGTGATCAGGCGCCGGCGAAAGTTTCAAGCATGACGTTGTTTCTTTTCATTTCAAGCGTGGCCATGCGTCGACCATATCGTTATCATGCGGTCATGTCATTGCATCCTGAGCGTGCTATCATGTGGTCATGTCATCGTATCATGAGCGCGCTTTCATGTAGTCATGCTATTGTATCATGAGCGTGCTTTCATGTGGTCATTTTATCATGAGCGTGCTATCATGTAGTCATGTCATTATATCATGAGCGTGCTATCATGTGGTCATGTGGTCATGTGGTCATGTGGTCATGTAGTCATGTGGTCATGTCATTGTATCATGAGCTTGCTATCATGTCGCCAGCAGCCGGTGCGATGTGACAGGTAGTTTTGAGAACGGTAACTTCGCCGTCGTCTGGCAGCTGAGCCAAACCGCTGTGTATTGCCCCTTCTCTGTCCTCTGTCCGGCAACTGCAACTGCCGGTCAATTGTTTGGTCTCCGCAACCTGCGGCACGAGTTCGCGCAGCTCCCTGCGCAGTTGCCAGTCCTGCGCAGCTCCCTGTCTCAGGGCAGCGAACGCCGCCGCCCTACTTTGTCAGTGCCGCAGTGCCGCTGGATTAGGGCAGCGAACGTCACCGCTCCACTTTACCAGTGCCGCAGTACCGCTGGATTAGGGCAGCGAACGTCACCGCTCCACTTTACCAGTGCCGCAGTGCCGCTGGCTTAGGGCAGCGAACGTCACCGCTCCACTCTGCCAGTGCCGCAGTGCCGCTGGCTTAGGGCAGCGAACGTCACCGCTCCACTCTGCCAGTGCCGCAGCGCCACTGGATACTCCGAGCACCACGCCAGCGGCGACGGCCGGTCGTACGCTCAGCTGAGTCCGCTGCTCAGCTGAGTCCTCTGCGAGTACTGAAGCTCCGCCCCGTCTCGCGTTCCAGGCGGGGTGCTGCGAATCTCCAACTTGCAGCACCACGACGCGGGCACGTACACGTGTGAGGCCAGGAACGAGGCGGCCGTAGCCAGGGAGGAGGCCGAACTCGATGTCAGCGGCCATGTGAGTGTTTCCAGTGGGGAAGGTCATAGGGAGGGTCGTGGGGGGGGGGGATGGCACGTAAAATTGTCAGTGTACCCTCTCCCTCCATCATACTGCAAATCTGCGTCGGCTCGTCAGTCAGGCCCTCGCACTGCCTCGAGTCACCCCACCACCCTCCTGCGGTCCGTTGCGTGGCCTCAAGACTGCCCCGATTCCCAACCTGTCTAAAACTGCCTGAGACTGCCGGCCCTCCCCAGGGCTGGGTGGATGGCGCGGCTCAGGTGCGTCGGGATCGTGGCTGTCCGCTCCGCCCTTCCGGCGGGTCCTGACTTCGGGGCATTGGCCGACAGCCCCTCTGCTGTTCCGCCTGTGTGACCTGACCCGGCGCTCCAGGCGGGTCCGGTGCTGACCGAGCGACCGCCCATGACCCTGACGGCCGCCCTCGGCGAAAGTATCGCACTGACGTGCCGCGCCTCCGGCTCGCCGCTGCCGGAGATCACCTGGAGAAGGGTCGGCGGCAACCTGTTCGCCGACGGACGTCACAGGTCAGGGCTGGGTCGCAGGCTGGTGGATGGGTCACAAGTCAGGGCTTGGTCACGGGTCAAGGCTGAGCCACAGGTCAGGGCTGGATCAAAGGTCAGCGATGGTCACAGGTCAGGGATGGGTCACAGGTCAGGGATGATGACGCGCCACCAGCTGAGAGCCGCTCCCCTTGGGTACCGGCCGGCACCTGGTTATTCGTGTATCATAGCAAGATTGTCATTACAGGTGGTAGGGAAGGACAGGCGATTTCATAACAATCAGCCGTCAACGACCGATGGCCAAGCATGAAAGTTACACCCACCTCGCATTCACAGACTAAAATGATCTGGTCGTGCTGCGTCGCGTTACGATTCTTGTGACAAATGTTTCAGTTTTCCCGAAGAGTTTGGCTGGCAACTGTAGTGCTGTCAGTCTCCGTAGCGTGTCCTGACGGCGAGGCCTTGTGTCCGGCAGTGCCACGACGGACGGAGCCTTGACCCTGAGGACCCTGACCGCCCAGGACGGCGGCATTTACGAGTGCAACGTCGACAACGGCGTGGGCCACGCTGTGGCTACCACACACCTGGCCGTCGCCGCTGCCCAGGTCAGTGATCACGGTCCGCACTGCACGCTCATCACGGGGCATCAGACCACAGCTGGCCGGCTCGCTGTGTTGGTGATTTCGGACAAGGCTGCCTCTCAGCGTCCGTCCTTCGGTGCGACTGTGCGGTGTCAGTGCTGGGGGCAGTGCTGGGGGCAGTGCTGGGGGCAGTGCTGGGGGCAGTGCTGGGGGCAGTGCCGACCCGAGGCCCGTCGAAGAGCGTGATTGTAGTGGCTGCTCGGTCACGCCGCTGACGTGCTGCCGTCGCCAGACGTCGTCCGCCCGTCCCGGAGACCAGTTCGTCAGCCAGAGCGCGGCAGAAGCGACGCGCGATGTCGAGATCGCGCTGAACCGTACCCTGCGTCAGCTGTTCTCACAGCCGCGCCACCATCGCCGCACGCCGCACGAGCTGCTGCAGATCTTCAGGTGCAGATCTGGCGCATCGATCGACTCCCGACTTGACCCTGGACTCTCCCCGGCCGGCACTCCGGCCGGCCGTGATCTGATGCAGCCAAAAGGCATAGAAACCTGTGATAGTGAGCGTCGGGAACTATCCTCTTAGAGCAGAGAGTTGCCCGTGTTGTTGACACTTCTTTGTCGTACGTTCAGTTTCGGGTGTTCGTCACAACTTTGGCGCTCGGTATCTCTGTCATTACAACTGTGGGTAGCTTTTATGCGGTGCTACAATTACTAGCTCAGTTTTCTCGTTCTGCAGGACAGCGAAAGGCCGTTTCAGCCGCTTCTGTTCTATACCGATGCGCTTGTGTATGTGGCATTAGAATGGGTGGTTTGCTCAATCTCGTCATTGCAACAGGTGTGTGGGATACTCTGCGTCATGAAGACCGACTCGGTATGTCCACTGCAGCGGCGGCTCTGTTTGCGCTGCGTGAGGTTTGCTGCCGCAGCTCTTGCCACGCATGACACCGGCGTCCGGCTTGGCCGTGCATGGCGCAGGTTCCCCACGGACGAGGCGCTGGACCAAGCGCGCGCTGGCGAGATCTTCGAGCGCGCCCTGGAGCTGGTCAAGCGGCTGGTGGAGTCCGGATCCCGTTTCAACCTCACGAGTGAGCTGACACCCGCTGCTCGGTCAGGCAGGCATGCAGCCTGCTCCAGCCGGGCTGCATTCGGAGCTGTTCCGCATGCGGAAACAGTGATTGGAGTAACTGTCCCGGCCCCAATGTGATCGGAAAGCGCTTGTCATCCCATGTTAATGCGTTGTTCAATCTTGCAACGGATGTTTTTTTTTAGATCTGCTATTGCATGCTCGCGGTCCTATCATCGTCTCCGAGAGTGTACTTGGACCACGTGTTCCTCTCGATGTTGGTCTTCACTTGTTTCGCGGGTTTTGGACGGCGGTCTCGTACTGGGTTCGGAGTGCGCTAACTGGCTTGACCTGTTGCTGCCCTGTTTGGGTGTATTCGGCCGCGGCCGCACTGCCGCCGCCTGACTGGGGCCGGGTCGTTGCAGCATACTCTTACTCGGACCTGCTGTCGCCGGGCCAGATGGAGCGGCTGCGCGACCTCTCCGGCTGCTCGTCCCACCGGCGCCGCCTCAACTGCAGCAACATCTGCTTCCACAGCCGCTACCGCAGCGCCGACGGCACCTGCAACAACCTGCAGCAGCCGCTGTGGGGCGCCTCGCTGGTCGGCTTCCGCCGCCTGCTGCCCGCCCAGTATGAAAACGGCTTCAATACGCCCCGAGGTGAGCGACCCTCGGACCTCGGGAGCTTCAACGAATGACCCTCGAACCTCGACCCTCGGACCACGCCTCGGGAGCTTCAACGAATCTCGAACATTTTATGAGGCGTACGCCACTCTAGCGAGAGAATCGGCGACTGGCAAGACGTTGCGAATGCCGCCCTTGCGGAGTTCGCGCATGATGGCGATGTTGACGACATTTTAGTGTTGGGATCAGAATGCAAGCTCCATTGTCGTCCCTCGTAAAACGACGGGTCAGCGCCAAATGTGTAGTTCCAAGCTTGCGTGCTTTTATCTTTGATGACCGTTATTGCCGTCGCGTACAAACTTCATAGAACTCCACAGCGACAAGCCCGGATGAAGACAGTGTTCTACCACAGACTAGTGCCACATCCGCTCGACCGCGGGCGGGCACCCTACACCTCCAGAGCCCCCCCCCCCCCCCCCCCGCCCCCCCCTCCGCCGACGCGGCCGGGCGCGCCACATGTTGTGATCTCATGTATCCGTGAACGAGCCGGCCGGCGCGCCAGGACCGCTCTCAGCAGCGCGTACGTAATACTTCGTACGGCTGCGTTGGTCGTGCGGCTCATAAATGTACAGCGGTGCGCCGCTGCAGTCGGGGCGGGGCTGCTCACCGCCACCGGTCGGCTGCTGCCGGCGCCGCGTCCGTGACGTCATGCCGTCCGGTCACCAGGAGCCGACCGATCCTCCCGATACAACGGCTTCCTGCTGCCGAACCCACGCCTGGTCAGCTCGCGGCTGGCCGCCACCGACGTCATCACCGAGGACACCGAGTTCAGCGCCATGCTGATGCAGTGGGGGCAGTTCGTGGACCACGATATGGACCACGCGCTGCCCGCCTTCAGCGAGGTCAGCTTTGACGGCCAGCACGAGTGCGACAGGTCAGTGGTGGCCAGCACGGCGTGAAAACCCATTGGTCCGGCCAGTGTGAGCGTGACGGGTCAGTGGCGTGGGTCTCAGTATGATTAGGCTCGTGGATGGGCTACAGTAAGAGGTCACTGGCACGTGTCTTGGTGCGACGGGTCACTGGTATGGTTCTCAGTGTAACGGTTTCACTGGTATTGGTCTCAGTGTCATGGCTCAACGGTGTGGCTGGGACACCTGGCATGAGGTACAGTATGACATGTCAAAGATATGGGGTGTGACATGCCAGCGGTACGGGGTGCAGTGTGACATGTCAGCGGTATGAGGTACAGTCTGACATGTTAACGGTACGGGTCCAGTGTGTCATGTCAGGGGTACGGGGTACCGTATAACATGTCAGTGGTACGGCAGTGTGACTGGTCAGTGGCATGGTACACGGTGTAACAGCTCGGAGCGTGGTGCAAGTTTGAATAGTCCGGTGATGCGAGGCACTAATGCGAGTGCTCCAAGTCTGTCGCACGGGGCAAGTGTGTGGTAGCTCAACAGGACGGGCGTGCAACGCATTGAAACTTTAAGTACTGCGGAAGCTTATGCACGCATCGAGGTTTGAAGAGGGCGTGAGATTCTAGTCAGATACGAGAGTCGGCCGGGTCGGACACTTGTCTGGTATTAATATCGCATGCCCGGAGCAAGGGTGGAATGACGTGAAAATCATGACTGGGCCCGATATCCCGCTGATTTTGAAGATCATCGCCCATGGACACTGCGTCAAAAGCCAGACACATGCAACATCTGCCCGCACAAATATGCGAATTTCAGCGGGGTGAGGGGTGCTGCGCGGTGGGACGGTTTGTCCTGCGAGTCAGCCAGGGTCGGACCAGTGTCCGGGCGGCGCCGCGGACTGTTCCCACTGCCCTGGCGGCTGACTACAGCGCCGGCTGCGTGGGGCAGCCGTGCCCCTGGCACCGCACCGCGGTCAGGCCGGCCCGGACCCCGGCCCACCGGCGTACACCGACGGCGGGCTCCCCGGCGTAGTGGACAAACACCTGCTATCCCCAGCCGGGAGCGCGCCGCGCGCCGTCCGTGCGTTTCCGACAGCGGTGGGCGGCTTCAGCCGGTGCAGACCTCTTGGATGGATGGAAGGGGGCGGGGGAAGGGCTTAGTGTCTGCCACTGCAGTCGTTGCGCAACAGCTGCCGACGACAATGTTTGCAACCAATGCTGGCACGAGGCTCGCATCATGCGGTGGGATCCTACGAAACGGGAAGGACAGCAGTCAACCCACCATCCCGTTGAGCCATCCCTGGAATGGCGGCAAAGCGACCAACTGGGAACAAAGTGTAAAAACTTCTGGTCAGAGGTGGCCTGATCCCGTCCCCTGCTCCGCTCTGCGTAAGTTGTGGACGGGGTCAGGCTGACGCCGCCTCCCCTGACCGGAGTGGAGGACAGAGCCAGGCTGACGCCGCCTCCCCTGGCAGGAGCGGAGGACGGGTCAGGCTGACGCCGCCTCCCCTGACCGGAGCGCAGGACGGGTCAGGCTGACGCCGCCTCCCGTGGCCGGAGCGCAGGACGGGTCAGGCTGACGTCACCTCCCTGGCCGGAGCGGAGGACGGGTCAGACTGACGCCGCCTCCCCTGGCCGGAGCGGAGGACGGGGCTAGGCTGACGCCGCCTCCCGTGGCCGGAGCGGAGGACGGGTCAGGCTGACGCCGCCTCCCGTGGCCGGAGCGGAGGACGGGTCAGGCCGACGCCACCTCCCCTGACCGGAGCGGAGGACGGGGCCAGGCTGACGCCGCTTCCCCTGGCCGGAGGGGAGGACGGGAGGACGATCTGCGCGTTCCTTGTCAGAGCTCGGCCAACTGGGAAGTTCGTGTGCACTGCATCGGGGCTGCTGGGAGACCGTGGAGTTTTTCGGGGAATTATCAAACAGATAAGGCAGGGCAGGTTTTCAGGCAGGACTGGCTGGCAGCGGTGTCTGTGTGGTGTCGCGGGAGGGCTAACAGGCCGCGGAGTCTGTTCGGAATTCACGCGAGCGGTGCCGTGGCCGACTCCACAGCCCTTCCCGACAGAAGGCAGGCAGCCGGCCAGTCGGCGACCGGCGCCGGTTCTGTGTGCTGAAAGCATCAGAAACGCCAGGCTTAGACCGCAGACGCGGTGTTGGTCACAGCGAATCGCGTCATCTGAAGGGCTCGCCGCCAACACTGAGTCGACGGCGCCGCTGCGTCGAATGACGGGGGCTATGGTGGCCGCCGCTGTAATCAGGTGGTATCATTTGTCCACAAAAGCCTTGCACGACAGCTCAAGACCAGGGGTGAATCTAGCCTGGAGTTTGGGGAGAGGGCCAACCGTTCATCGCTAGCTGGTCGGTGTGGGATCCGAGGTCCAGTGCACTTATCAAACACGATGTTTGCGCAAAGTATGACTAAGCCGCGTCAACATGCGTTTTGTTTTGATACTCTGTTCTGGGAATGCTTTGAAGGGGCCAAGACATACTCTCAGAGTTTTTGGGGGCCTGTGCCCCCCCCTCCCCCTCCCCCCCCCCCCCCCCCCCAGGATTCCCCTATGCTCATGACCATTGTCTGCCGTACTTTTTGCGCCATTCGACGAGGATGAGTTCGCGCCATCATTGGTAGTCCCGATTTTGATATTCCGGTTTATTCACATCACGTACCATAGCGGTTGATACCGTCCAGTGCAGCCAGGTGGTGAGTGGCAATCCGAGTCTAGCCTTTCTAGGCGAGGTAATTATGCGCATTATTTTGACTATCGCCGCAAGCAACTCATTATCATCATGCTCCGAATGTTTCGGCCGTCTGGTGGACGGGCACGATTGTTTGCGGTGCTTCACGTGGTAGAACATTACACAGTATGGTGCAAGCTGCTCAAATGAAAAAGTTGACCGACTCGGTCGATGCCATGTAGCGCGAAGCGTGTGGTCCGTTGTCTGTCCTGACACTTAGCTCCGCCTGCCGGCAGCACGTGCCAGAATGTGGCGCCGTGCTTCAACATCGCCATCCCGCCGGGGGACCGGCGCCAAGGCCATCACCGCTGCATGCGGCTGGTGCGCAGCTCGGCGGCCTGCGGCTCCGGCTCCACCTCCGTCTTCGGCCACCAGCTGATGCCGCGCGAGCAGATCAACGGCCTCTCCAGCTTCATCGACGGCAGCATGGTGAGCTGCGGCGGCCGAGGCAGGGCTGCAGCGCCGGCCGGACGGCCCAAGAGCGCGGCGGTCTGGATCGGTACTCGCACCCGAAACTGTGGCGTGGCGGGCAGGTCACTGCCCCCCCCCCCCCCCCCGTGCCAGCTCACAGGTAATGATAATAACACAATGGCATGTGGTTCCGCGGGGACCGCTCGTCGCTCTGAGCTGTACGCTTCGTTGTCACGTGACGTCCCAGACTTTGCCCGTCTTTGTACGCCCAGTGGTCACGTGACGTACCAGAGGTTCCTTGTCCTCTCCGCACGTCCGCCGGCCATCACCGACCGCGCCGCGTCGCTCGACAGATATACGGCAACACGGAGACGCAGGCGCACCACCTGCGAAACCTGAGCTACCCGTCGGGTCGGCTGAGGAACGGCATCTTCTCTCGCCCGCACCGGCCGTTCATGCCCTTCAACGACGGCGTGCCGGTGGACTGCCAGCGCGACCAGGCGGACCGCAGCGACATCGGGTGAGGCCGCGGGCGCGCTCGCCAAGTTCAGAGCCGTTCAGCCACGCAGTGGCATTGCTGCATCTTTGGCTGTCCAGGTGTAAGGGCGTCAGTGCTTGTGGTTTCGTGGGGATGTGACGTTAGGTCTGTACGTGTTTGTGTGGGGGGGGAGGGGTGCGCGCGCTTTTATTCTGATGTGATCGACGCGTCGCTGTTGGCATTGCTGTTGGCGTCACCGTTGGCGTCGCTGTTGGCGTCGCTGCTGGCGTCGCTGTTGGCGTCGCTGTTGGCGTCGCCGTTGGCGTCGCTGCTGGCGTCGCTGCTGGCGTCGCTGTTGGCGTCGCTGTTGGCGTCGCTGCTGGCGTCGCTGCTGGCGTCACCGTTGGCGTCGCTGTTCGCGTCGTTGGTGTGTGACTGTTGTGATGCTGTGCTCCCGCGTCCTCCCGCCGTCCAACTGGAGCCTTGCGCGGACCCGCGTGGCGGCGGTGGCCTGGTGGCGCCACGCCGGACCTGACTGATTTCTGCTCCTCGCGGCCGCCAGCTGCTTCATGGCGGGAGACGTGCGCGCCAACGAGCAGCTGGGCCTGTCGGCCATGCACACGGTCTGGCTGCGCGAGCATAACCGCGTGGCGGACGAGCTGGCGCGCCTCAGCCCGCATTGGCACGGCGAGGAGCTGTACCAGGAGGCGCGCCGCGTGGTGGGCGCCCAGATCCAGCACATCACCTACCGACACTGGCTGCCGCTGGTGCTCGGCCCGGACGGCATGCGCCAGCTCGGTGACTACGCCGGCTACGACCCGACCGTCGAGCCGACGATCAGCAACGCCTTCGCCACGGCCGCGTTCCGGTTCGGCCACGGCCTGGTGGGGCCGGTGCTGCACCGGCTCAACGAGACGTTCCAGCCGATCCCGCAGGGCAATCTGCCGTTGCACCGGGCTTTCTTCGCGCCCTGGCGGCTGGTGCAGGAGGGCGGCGTGGACCCCATCCTGCGCGGTCTGTTCGCCAGCCCGGCCAAGGTCCACACGCCCGACCAGCTGCTGAACGCCGAGCTGACCGAGAAGCTCTTCTCGCTGCACCACCAGGTGTCGCTCGACCTGGCCGCCATCAACATGCAGCGCGGGCCGCGATCACGGCCTGCCCGGCTACAACGCCTGGCGCCGCCACTGCGGCTTGCGCGCCGCCGCCAGCTTCGCCGACTTCGCGCGCGAAATCCGCAGCGCGCGCGCCCGCGACGAGCTGCGCCAGCTGTACGGTCACCCGGACAACGTGGACCTCTGGATCGGCGGCATGCTGGAGGAGCACGCGCCCGGCGCCAAGATGGGGCCGACGTTCGTCTGCCTGCTGGCCGACCAGTTTCGCCGGCTCCGCGACGGCGACCGGTTCTGGTACGAGGCGGCCGGCGTGTTCACGCCCGGCCAGCTGGCGCAGCTGAAGCAGACAAACCTGGCGCGCATTCTCTGCGACAACGGCGACGCGCTGCACCAGGTGGCGCGTGATGTGTTCCGCGTGCCCGAGCGACAGTCGCCGCGCATCATCGACTGCGAAAGCACGCCGCAGGTCGACCTGCGCATGTGGGTCGACTGCAAGAGTTGCCGAGGCGAGGGTAGGTAGCGAGGGACCAAATGTTGGGAGGTAGAGCGGTCGGCAGCCGGGCTTGTGCTCGTGCTTGCTCGCCTGTGGTTCTCGGCCACCTCAACGGTGACAGGCCTGTCAGACGACCTTTTTTTTAAAAATCGTTCAAGGGCCTCTTATTTCTTGACGTAAGACCATTAAGCTTGATGTGATTAAGCGATTCCTTTGTTTAGTACCTACCTCTGATCGCTAAGTTTTACTGGTCTATAGTTGGACAGTTATTTAACAATTAACTGCGCTGTTTTGAATGACTGCCAGGGCAGGCTGGCTCGTAACGCATCAGCCGTGTCCTGCACTGGAGTTTCTCTGAGAGGTTACCGCGGTCCCGAGCACAGATCGCTCTCTCCCCGCTGCAGATTGTTCAGCGGAGGGAGCGCGGCCGGGCCGAGCACGCCGCTCCGTGCTGCTCTCCACCCACAACCACCTGACGGACCCGGCTCCGGCTCCGGCTCCGGCTCCGGCTCCGTCTCCGGCCCCGGCCGCGGCTCCGACTTCGGTTCCGGCTCCGGCGGTGGCCGATATTTACCACATGGAGGACGTGACTGAGGAGCGCATCCAGGGCCTGGAGGAGGTGATGGCGCGCATGCACCGCTCGCTGGTGCGCATGAGAAAGCAGCTGCGCCGGCTGCAGCAGAGTGAGCTGGGGCGCCGCCAGCAGAGACGGAGGCACCGGCGGCTGACGGCGCCCGGCCGGTCCAGGCCCGGGTTAGTAGGGAGGAAGGGAGGGAGCGGGGAGGGAGGGAGGGAGGGAGGGGTGGAGGGAGAGGGAGAGAAGGATGGAGGGAGGGATGGGGAGAAGGGGAATGAGAGGGAGAGAGGGTGAGAGGGAGGGGGGATGGGAGGGAGGGATGGGAAGGGGAGTGAGAGGGAGAGGGAGAGAGGGAGAAGAGAGGAGAGGGGTAAGAAAGAAGAAAGGGGAAGATAGGGAGGGACGAAGGACAGGGAAAGAGGACAGAGCTAGACTGTGAATAGAATGAACAGAGAGATTCAGCCATGCCAAGGGTGAGGAATGACAAATAGACAGGAGTGTAGACGGACAAGCGCCCGGACTGATTATGTTGTACGCCGATGTTGATATCCATGTTATCTGCTTTGTCCTCTGATGCGCCGTGGTTATGGCGGTCGCCTGCGACGTCACTGTGTGCCTGTGCCGCAGCCGGGACTCTCGGTCGTAGCCGGCGCGCTGCCAGACCGGACGGGCAGTCCGACCCTGTGATACTCTCCCGGAGCGGTCCGAGCTGGCGCCCCGGCTCGAGACGAACCCCTCACTGCCAGCTGCCGGCCGCGCCGCGCTGCCTGAACCGCGCGGCCGCCGCCAGCCGCGACTCCGCTCCCTGCCGCCAGGGGCGCTGCTTACAGTGCCGGCTCGTGCCGGTGTCAGCTGATGCGAGCTTTCTCGCCTCACAACGCGCACGTCCGATGGTGCACTCAGCAAGATATAAATGCTTACGATACTAATGTAGGATTAATATACTGATTTTTTCAACGTTCGTGTTTGCCTTCCCGGTAAACTCACGAGCTGTGCAGCAGCAGGCAGTCACCGACCGTATTCAAGGGTGGAGGCCTTAAAGCGAGGACAGGCAGTCACCGGATAATGCAGGCATTATCACCGCCACTCGTCAGCCACCGGCCGTGTTCCAGAGTGGAGGCTGTAGAGCGAGGACGGCAGAGTCCATCTTAACGTTGGTCGACATTTGACACAAGCAGATGAGACGTGTGTTCTGTTCAATCTCACAAGGCCTAGGCGGATCCTGGGGGGGGGGGGGGGCACGGGGCCATGGCTCCCAAAAACCTCTGGGAGTATGTTCGCCCCCCCCCCCCCAAAAAAACCCATAACTTCATAAAAGTTTAGTCTACTTACCGTCTGTTTTAACTTTAACTGTTTTTACCGGTTTTGTTTTAACTTCAGTTCAAGATTCAAAAGCATTTCGGTATTTTTTTCGGTTTTGAATGGTGCCCCTACTAGATACTCGCGAGAGGCACCATGCACTGGACCTCGGATCCCACACCAGCCAGCTGGCGACGAACGGTTGCCCCCCCCCCCCCCCAAAAAAAAACTCGGGCTAGATCCGCCACCGTCACAAGGTCCGGCGGGTTTCCGTGTAGTTTCGCTGCTCGTAGCACGCATTTGGAAAGAGTTGTATCACGCAACCCGCTGCAAAGACAGAGTGGATTTCAAACGTCGTTTAATGTGCCTATAAAGTGCTTCCTGTCCACACCTTTTGCTGCGTTTAGCCGGTGATACTTCCTTCCCTAAAGTGCAGCACTGGAAACGGTCACCGAGTAGACAATAGCGACAGCTCATGGGAGGGCACCACCAGCAGCCGACGGAGGGAGGCTAGCACCAGCCGGTGGCGTACACGTGGCCGAAGTTGTCGGGGCTGCCGAGCGGGTCGTTGGGGGGGACAATCGGCCGGCACGAGTTGGCTGCGGTGGCGCAGCAGCCGGTGCTTCAGCTCGGCGACCGTGGCCGGCCGCTCGGCCGACAGGTCCATGTGCTCGGTGGGGTCGGCCGCTAGGTCGAACAGCCAGGTGGTGTTGTCGCCCGTCCAGCGGTGGTCCGCCAGCTGGTAGCGCGTCGGCGCCAGCTCGGTCGGCACCAGCGGCCACAACTCGATCACGCCCGGTTCCGGGTACCAGCCGTTCTTGCTGCCCGGGTGGCCCCAGATGAGCTTCATGTTCCCGACGCGGATGGCGGAACTCAGCCGCTTCTCCACGTCGATGTTGTAGACGAGCTCGTCGCGCGGGCTTGGCCGGTCGCGGGAGATCGTGTCCCACTGGTCGAAGCCGTCCAGGTCGTCGGCGGGCACGGTTGGCCGGCCGGCCAACCTCAGGAGCGTCGGGAACCAGTCGGTGACGTGGATCAGGCCGCGGTTCACGTAGCCCCGCTTCTTCAGCAGTGGCGAGTGGACGAAGGAGGCGGCGCGCGTGCCGCCCTCCCACAGCGTCACCTTATTGCCCCGCAGCGGGTAGTTGTTGCCGCCGGCCAGCACCTGGCCGCCGTTGTCAGTCGTGAATACGATGACAGTGTTGTTGTAGAGGCCGCTGTGCCGGAGCGCCTTCTCCACGCGCGCCACGGCATCGTCCAGCGCCGACACCATGCCGCAGAACGTGCGCCGGTCGCGGTCGTGCACACCCGGGTACAGGTCTCGGTATCGCTTGGGTACTTGCAGCGGCGCGTGCACGCTCTGGAAGGCCAGGTACAGGAAGAGCGGCTTCTCGGACTGGTGAGCGAGGATGATACGCTCCGCCTCTTCGGCGAACACCTCGGCCGAGTAGCGCCCGCGGTACTGGCGCGCCACGCTCAGGTTCTGTCGGAAATCGAGCCCGAACGAGCCGTCCTCGAGCCTGCGCGTGTGCGCGTAGTAGTCTTGGGAGCCGGTCCAGAAGCCGAGGAACGACTGGAAGCCGCGCGCGGTGGGCGTGAACTCGCGCCGGCAGAAGCCCAAGTGCCACTTACCGATGGCGTGCGTGCGGTAGCCGGCGGCGCGTAGCCGGCGCGGTAGCAGCTCGGCCTGCAGCGTCAGCCCGGTCGGCTCCTCCGGCCACAGCACGTCGTGCTGCCGTCCCAGCCGGAACGGATAGCGCCCGGTGAGGAGGGCGGAGCGGCTCGGCGTGCAGATGGGCTGCACGTACGCCTGCTCCAGCACGGCGCCTCCGGCCGCCAGCCGCGCCAGCGCCGGCGCGCGCAGCAGCGTGTTGTGCCACGGCACGTCGTTGTAGCCCAGATCGTCGGCCACGATAAGGACGAGATGGGGCGGCGGCGGCGCGGCCTGGGCGGCGGAGAGGAGCGCCATCAGCAGCGGCGCCAGCCACGCCCGGCTGCGGCCCCGGCCCGGTGCGCGCATCTTCTCACGCTACGCCGAGTGCTGCGTCACGTACCGCCGGCGGCCGACTGCGTCGCTGTGACAGGCGCCGGGGCAGCGCGGCGCCGGCGGCGGCCGCAAGTGTGGTTGTCCGGATTATTCCGGTATCACTGCCGGCTTTTGCGGCGTGTGACGCCCGTCCGGCCGCCGTCAAAGCACACCACGGTGCTGATAAGGCGCAGGCCCCGCTGGTTAAAACCGGCCGTCTGAGATGACTGCCGGTCGCATAAAAACTGTGCGGCGCTTCTAACCAATCGCAACAGGCCCCGCCTTCGCACAGGTCAGAGAACCTGGCGGCCAGGCATCTTCGCTGTCTGGGAACTCGACGGTCTCAGCACACCGCTTTGTTTGTCGGCGGCTGGCCGCGATAACACGCAAACCCCGGTCAATATTGAGCTTCGCGTGCACGCCCGGAAAGTCAACATCGAGGGATCGATAACTTGAAGCGCCTTTCGCAGTGATAGCAAATAGCCGAGTCACCTCTGAGTCTGTGGATTGAGTACCACCGGCAGGAGGGATGCTTCCTACAGGGTCGGAGGCTAGGTTCCGGAGTTCTGAAAGTCCCGGAGTCACGGTTCCGGAGTCACGGAGGTCCCAGAGTCCCGGTCCCGGAGTCCCGGAGGTCAAGGAGTCCCGGTCCCGGAGTCACGGTCCCGAAGTCCCGGAGATCCCAGAGCCACGATCTCGCAGTCATGGTCCCGGAGTCCCGAAGGTACCCGGCGCTGCAGCGGTAGAGATTCTCGAGACTTGAGACAGTTGGTGTTTTCAAGGCAGTGCCCAGGGTAGTCGGGCCGGACCCTGAGTAAGTCCACAGACCGCTGGGTGATGGGACTGAAGCGACCTGAACAACGAGCGATCAGTGGGCCAAAGAGCGGGGTCCTAATGGCAAAGCCAAAATAATATTTCCAAAATGTCTTGAGAGCTGATTGAAGCGCTTTGGGCGAGGTATAGAGACCAATTCAAAGGCATGGGATACGGAAGTGGGGTAATGTCCGAGCTCTACCTCAGACGCAGACCCTGCCACGTAGCAAACATCGCAGCAGTGCGGGCGTGTTACTGCTGTCGCCCGGAAGGGGCTGAACGCGGCGGCCCACTATGCTCGGTACAGGGGCGTATTTAGGAGGTGGACAGGGGGGACATGAACCTTCCGCTTAGCAGAGAGGTTTTCGCCGTATGTTGGAAGATTTAACAAAATTTTGGTACAAACTCGCAGGAAAGTCCAGAAAGTTTGACATCTCTCCTTACTCACCGAAGAAAAAGAATCCCGGCGGCGTGTTTATCTGGCAGGCACTGTTTAAGCCTAGGAAAAGCGCAATCTTGAATTGCTGAGGACAGTTGTGAAGTTTACAACAATTTGTTATTCATAACAGAAATGAACTCAGAACTGTGCCCGTCAGAAACTGGAAGGAGTGCCCTGAAGGCAAAAGCCTGCATTATGTATTATTACATCCTTCCCTTTTATCCTCTATCTTGCTTCATCCTGCATTCTCGCGGCACTCAGCTTGTCCGGGGCAGGCCGCATGCGTCAGCCACGAGTGGGCCGGGAGCCCCGTGGGAAGGGGGACCCCGACCGGGTACCCAGGGCGTACGCGCGAGTTAAAGCTCGGCTGTTGGCCCCCAGAAGCATGCAAGTCTGCCACACCGTTAACCATTTCCCTTCATCCCATAGCCCTGAAATGATCATTTCTGGTTCAAAGGGCTTTAATAAAAAGCAAACGACAAAAACATGATGCATTATAAGCGCGGTTAGTGATCGAGGCGTCCAAAAAACGCGAGAAACTAGTCGAAATTCAGCTGCTGTCCGTTGATACGGCCATTGTGCTGATGTACAATTCTAGAGATGCACGGGCAGCAACGGTAAGTAGTGTGTTTCATTAAAGCAGCGAAGATGTTGCTTGGCAGGTCACACAGCGAGGCCAGGCCGGGTCCCATGATGACCTTACACGAGAAACTATAGGGATCTTTCCTAGACCGTGCATTGTATGGAAGTCGAGTGGTTTTATTAGTATTAACGAACGGCGCATAGTTCTGAGGCAACTCGTTGGCGCGTGACCTCAATGACTGGCACATCCTTTCAACTTCCTTACCTTCAAGACCCTTCAACTGGCTTATAATAATTACGGATGATAAACTACGTGATTACGTCGACTTTTTTACGTTGCGCATAAAGCTATCGCCTAAGGAGTTCACCGAAAGTAAGGGTAATTTAGACAATACCCATGGTGCCTAACTTGTCATGCCTGATCAGCAAAGTGAAATGGGTGTAAGGCGGAGTTCACGTTTGACCAATACCGCGTGTACATGTAGTTTGGTATTGTTAGTATGGTTCCTATCGCATCCCCCTCTGCCCCTTTTTCAATGCCTTCCCACTTTGCATAGCAGCCATCTGGTCGTGATATGTGAGGCAGGAAGCCAGCGACCTATCAGCCGCCCAAGCGAGGCGTCTGAGCGCACAGGCCATACCAGAAGGGTAGATGCGCGCCCAGATCATCGATCATCGATCATCGACCAGGGTCGAAAACAAGATCACCAGGGCGAGACCCGCTGGCGGAAACGCAGCATGTAGCTCGGGATGTAGGAAACGCAGCATGTAGCCGGGGATGACCGCATTTCACACTTC